TGTTCTTCTTTACAAATCCTCGTTTTGTACTTCTAATTAGTGACTGGTATTTTGTTTTGATCTCTCCACTGCGTTTCCGCGTGCGCCGCTCAGAAGTGACGCACGCGGAAACGTCAACCTCATAAAGCCAACCTCATACGTCCTCCGCCCGGAACTGCTTCCGTTTACAACAGTGAGCACAAGCTAGATTCAAGTGATTATTACGTTTTGAATATGGATATTTTTCTTACAAAAACGCATCGATTCGCTACAGGAGGCCTTTGTTCACCCCCCCCGGAGAGCCATGTGAGACACTTTTTTTATGGATGGGCGCTTTTTATTTCACTTCTTTTGGACTGAAGCACTGCAACACCCGCTGACTGCAATGATAGAGCTTGGAATAGCCAGGACAATTTTTAATATAACTCCGACTGGATTCGTCTGAAAGAAGAAAGTCATATACACCTAGGATGCCTCGGGGGTGAGTAAAACACAGCCTAATTTTCATTTTTGGGTGAACTAACCCTTTAAGAGAGCGTCACTGTACATTGAGCATACGTATCAGCCTTCATATCCATAAAAAAGAAAAATCACAGATGAGATCTCAGATTAACATCTCAGTTGTTTCTTCTAGATGCCAGTAACATTATAACAGCAAATGCACATTTTTGTGAAATCTAATTTTCTCTTGGAAGACTTTCTTCAGACTTTCAAGGGATCTCTAAAATGTCTCACACTGGGCTCAGATTTGAGACACACTCAAAAGTCAGAAATCTCTACATTGTCATGTATTATCAGTGCTTTATTAGGTTCCAACTCTTATCTGACTCTTATTTTAATATTGTGCTGGACTTTTAGTTTTTATTTTGTTCCTGTGTCTGTTTTTACATTTCCTGTGATTACTTTCCTGTTTATTAAGGTTTCATGTCAATACATTTTTATCACCTGATTAGTTCCTTATTTTCCCATATGTATATACAGCCATCTTTCTTCAGGTCTTATGCAGATCTTGTCTTATTGTGAGTCTATGTTTTATAATAAGCAAATTAAGCTGTAACACAGTAGTCTTTCGTTCTTTGATTATGCTCTTCCTGGATTTCTGTACCTGCTTATTCCTGAGTGTTGGGTTTCTCTTATTTCTCCAAGACAAAATATCTGAAACATCTGAGACAACATTGATATGTAGATACAATTGAAAGAGCAACCTCTGAACATTTTCCACCGTGTACACACAAGGAAAGTCCCTAAAATATTTTGTGGTTATGGGGGACAAAAATATTATATACTTAGCTCTCTGTTACAAAACTTCCACCTGTAACACATGGCCAAACTCCCGCACACACACATACACTACTCTCATATCCACTCTGCTGGCCACCATCTGTGTGAGTTTGGCAGTGACAGCCGGTGCATCTGTGTGCACATCCCCTTTCACTTCTGTCCTCTGAGTAAGTGTGTGTGTGTGTTTGTGGAGGCCAGTGGGTCACAGCTGTACACAAGCTAATTTCTCAGTACCAGCATTACTGTGGCAGGCCGCAGGGCTGCTATACTCTCAAGCCTTTAGAAGAACATATGTTAATTTTCTAAAATCTCTCATTTTCTCTCTCTTCATTATCTCTTTTAAAAAAGTTTTTTTAGTGGTGTCTAAGGCAAACTGTATTACTAATGCTCATACTTAGGATTAGGGATATGAAACCAGTGTAATAACCTTCACTGTTTCACAGGCAGGAATGACACCTTAAATCCTGAGAGATTTTCAGATCATTTTCTAGAAATCAGTTTATACTAGAGACATGGAATGGGCTCGTCTGACCTAGGCCAGTAAGCAACATTGGAACTACTCTGAATCAACCAAACTAAACCTCTAGCAAACACATATCAACCTGCTAAAAACCACTCACAACACCTTTAGAAACCACATGTCAATGCGAAGGCAACTATCGACAATGCCCTAACCTCACATTTTCTTCACAAAATGTAAAAGAAATTTTTTTTTACTTATAACTCTGCAGATGCCAACTGCATAACAAAGCACTCTAAAAATGCTGGGTTAAATACAACCCAGCGCTGGGTAAAATAACATAAATAAATATGTGTAATATCATAAATATGTAAAGCATCTGTGGACTTAATCAGAAGAACAACTCTGAATATTAAACACACCATGATGAAATGAGCAAAAACCCTTGCCCATGTTGCAATATGCCTTCAGACTTAAGAAACATGCCTTCAGATGGGATTGCTACAGAGATTCTCGGCCTTGAACCTGTTTGAACTTATGTGCAGACCAGGAGGTGTTAGAAAGGATGTATGGGCACCAGGAGGAGCCCTACTGTCCGGTAGGAACAGGAAGAATGATCTGCCCACAGACACAGCTGGTTCCTGCCAGAGGAAGCCTGGATGTGAGCTATCACAGCCGCTCAGCACTGTTTACTTTTGCCTGGGGAACCACCTGCTCACATGGGGACAGGACACACAGACATTTGTCTAGCTGAGGACATATAGACCAAATTTTTTTTTCATTTATACATTGTAAAAGACTAACCTTAACGCTAAAAGGAAACTTTTAGAATGAACAACATTATGAAATATTACTACAACTGTGGGCATTCGTGGTTGTTCCCAAAAGGAGACTTCATTAGGTTTAACTCAGTTCTGGTAAAATATGTAAGTAACGTAAGGTGTATTGCTCAATTGAAGTACAGTCTCAGCCCACAGTCAGGCTGACCTCTATGCCACCCATACCACCCTTTCCTTTTGAGCTGTTACAAAGAGAGTGAAAGAGATAAAGAGTGTGTGTGTGTGTGTGTGTGTCTGTGTGTGTGTGTGTGTG